AATTAAATGACTGTGCACTGATGCTGGGGTCATTTTTTGGATCCTTTTATCAAGCCTTAAAGATTTGTGTCCCGCAAAGTAAGGACTGCTGAAGGCTTTCTCTTTTCCAGTGTAATAGCGGTTATGATAATTGTCATCTGCAGCCATGGTTGGAGATAGCCAGGAGCAATTTCTCTGCTCCTGGAATTTTACTTTAGCTTGACTCTGCCTTCAAAGCATCGACCAGTCTGTTCCTAATATTTATGGTATGTAAGCTGCTAGCGACCTGACCTCTGCCCCTGGTGCAGGAAAATGGCATGTATGTTCTGCTGGGATCAGGTTCTCCACCTCAGACAAGGGAAGATAAAGGCTTTGTTTAAAAATAAAGACATCACTCTCAGGTTTGTCAGTGGTACTGTACATTTTCCCCTCTGCCACTCTGTGTTTACAGGGGCACAAAAAGGAAGAGAGAAGGTCAGAATATCGAGTGTCAAAAGTAGCCCATGAAATTTTATTGGTAGTGCATTTAATCAGTGCTAAGCGTTTTTTACAAGGTACATACAAACAGTGGAACTGTAAAAATTTATGGAATGCTGTGTACAGTGTGGCCATTTATGAAGAAAGGAAAATTTATATCCAGTTGAAATAAACCAAAGGGGAATGTTTTACCGAGACTCCTCAACAGCAGGGTACAGCCAGTGAGATCTGGGGAGGATGGGGCATTTGCAGGAGCTTACTGAACTTGGAGGTGGTTTTCTGCTTCTTCAGCAACTAGCAGCTTGCATTTTTCTGTGGCTCTCAAACAGGCAGGATGCTGGATGCAGGGATGGTGTTCTGGTTTTTCTGTACAATGAAAAGGAAACGCAAGTGGTACGAAGCTCCTGCTATTGAGCTGGTTCCAGTCCAACAGTTCCTTGAGCAGCCCTTAAAATCCAGCTGGGAAGGGTTAACTGGCACTGGTCACTTTGACATCAGCATTTTTTTTTTTGTTTCCTTTTTCGTCCGCTATTTTGTTGATGATAAAGCACAGACTTAGTCAATTGAGAGATTCCAGAGCTGCAGAATCAGAGATAATTTAATTAACGGAATTGCTTGTGATTGCCCACTGGGACAGCGGGTAGGAATTGCTCGATTTAATTTGGAGAAACAAAGATCACATGCATGCTAATGTTTGACAAATAAGCAGCGTTTGGGTTAAAGTTTTTTTGCAAAGAGGGGGGCAGCCAATTCCCAGAGGAGATTTCCCAGGAGGTAATTGCTGAGTAACAGCTCAAAGCTACAGATAGGTCCTTTTTCCTCTTTCATGGTACTTTTGTGCCCTTCTTCTGACTTTTTATCTGAACAAAGCCAGGATTTGCTCAGAGGAAGAAAGTTTGTCCTTATTTTCAGTGCTCAGAGAGAAGTAAATGCTGTGAACAGCAGAAAAACATGCATTGGGCACAAAGACTGAAAACCACCACACACTGTCTGCCCAGTCTCATACACTTGCTCCTGGGTACCCAGGAACCCTCAGCTGTGACTGCGACGTTGTTGAGTTAACCACAGCGTCCAAAGAGCAGTGCCAGGACCAAGCTTCCTCCATGAGGAGCCCTCTCATTGTGTTTTTGCCCTTGTATGAAGTTCTTGCTCAGGCTCCCTCATTTTTGGTGGTGTAGGTCCACAGTGAGTAGAGTGTGGATGTGCCCTCTTGGTATGTCCTCAGCCAGAGGACAATTCAGGTATCAGCAAGGCTGCTCTCACCTGTGTGGTTGGAGAAGCACCAGTGCTGGGGCTTGAGGCATTGCTCTTGGCAGCAGTTGTGCTCAGCAGATCTCTCTGGAGGCTGATAAATGACGTTATCCAAACATGTCAAATCAGAGCGCTCAGGCGCAAAATTGTTAAAAGAGTCCTCCTACATCCAGCATGAGGTCAAGGGAGAGCGGAGCTGTGGAGGCCGATTCCTTCTTCCCTGTAATTCCCTCTGCCTCCCTTGGCAGGGGAACTTGAACACAGCCTTACCCTGTCCGTGGAGCTCAGCCTTCTGACCTTCACTCCACCCTGTCCTTACCCTGTAAAAGTACTGCACAGGCTGCTTCCAGCTGTGTCTGGGCAAGTGCACACGAGGTGTGCACGCAAGAGGGTTGCCTGAGGGAGTTCCCAAGATTGCTGCTGCAGGAAGAGTTGCTCCTAAGCGATGCTTATCTTTAGGATACAAGCAGCAGGTTGACGGTAAAATGTCATTAAATAGAATGGCATGTGTCCCAAGTGTTCTGGCCACCACAGGAGCCAGACACGTGGGAAGTTACTCTTGTCTTTATTCCATCCCTGGAGGTAGTTCCAGTTTCCTTTATTTACTAATGTTCTCCCTATTTCCCTTGACCTCATTTCCTCCGGCTTTTCGGAAGCAACCATGCAATTATCGCTCACTTTGGATTGACCCTTGGCCGCCACGTCCCTGTTGCTGCTTCTCTGGGAGGCTTTCCTGAAATGTCAAGTCCAAAATACTCACTTGTAGCCAAAATCTCTTCCTTGTGAAATAGGAGCTGTGTGTTTGGCACTGCGCTGTGCGTCAGGCTTTGCCCTGAGAGCTCGCTTGGCAGGGAGAACGTGGATTTTAAAGTCTGTCACGTCTGAGCTTTGATCGGTGCTGGGAGATATTGCAGTGGCTAAAGCTCTGTCTCTTACCAATGCACCCCAGTCTTGTTAATAAATGTATATTTAACAATGTCTGCAGCGTATGAAGTGATAATAACTAAATCAATACCTCCCACATTGATTGTCCAGGATCCCTACAGCGTGACGCACGCAGCGGTGCGGTAATTTTCCAGCTAACTAGCACCCTGATCTACAGCCCTCCTATTGATTGGTCATTGTATCAGGCAGCCTCTGAGCATTATTGCTTATACCTCTATTCAGCCTCCTTTTCTGATTCATTCGTTTATTACTGGACAGGTGCGATTATCTCAGAGACTTTCCGAAGTTGGCTGATGGGGGTCAGCCATTTAGACTTCTATAAACAAGCCATTTTCTATCTCCTCTGGTTGTTGCAGTGGCAAATTTTTCCTTTTCGAGCTTTGACTGTTGTTGGGGCTGAGGATAAATTGGCCTTTGCTTGAATCTGCTCAAGGATCCCACTTTTTCCTTCCCTCGCTGAGTCTCCTGCCCTTCAGAGGACAGATCACTCCATAGATAGTAGTGGGAGAATTTAGCAGAGGTGGAGGTTCTGCTTTTGCCACTCACTTTGGACAGGAGCCACACTCTCTACCTTTTAATACTCCAGTGCCCTTGTGCACACAGGAAAGATTAATGGGTTCCAGAAGTCAAATTCAGCTGCAGCCTTTATCCAGCATCAGCTTGTTGATTCGCCAGACAGGAAGGGAAGTTAAATTCTCTCATCTGACAGTGATCTTCAATCTATAAATAAATAATTCTGTTTCTTCCTTGAACAAAACTAGCACCTTTCTAGACTTTCTTTGAAAACACTAACAACTCTTCCTTGAGGGTTAGAACCCAAGCTGGGATACAATAATAATTTATACCAATGTATAGGAGCAATAGGTGTTTCCCAGCAGGGAGCTCTTTAAATTTGCTCCAAATAATATTTGTTGATACCAAGACTTGAATCGCCAGTGTCCCTGTCAATGGGCAGTCCTCACCCACTAGGCTATCACCTGATATGTGTATTTCTTTGCCTTTTTTGTAGTTAAGAAATTGTTACTATTTCCTAGCAACTGTCATTTGCAGTGTATCTCCTTTCTGATGAAGGTCTCTACTTGCTTAGCTCCTGCAGTGTCTGATCTGTACAAAGGTAGGAGTGAAGTTGGAGAAGCTTTATAACGCTGGTACTTAACCATAGGCATCCTGCAGCTCCAGTTTCTTCTGAAGTGTCATGATTATAAAAATCTCTCAAGATCTTTTCAACTAACTGTTTCCAGAGCCTTGGGAAAAGCCAGCAGAATCACCTTGTGGCAGATACCTTGGGTCCCTCCCTATGTGCTTGTGACAAGGGACTAATGAACAAAGGAGCAAATGTGTGCAGCAGGAGTGCCGAGATTCCATCTTTATTAGTTGTAGGAATTCCAGTAGACCCACGTTTTAGCCACCTGTTGATGAATCATCCCTTTAAAAGGTGGAACACACAGGTGCCACTGTGGGTTATGTTGTGATTGATGGGTCTGCACTGTGTAGAAATGAGATTTTGCAGCACGCCGGAGTGACACATCCTTGTCTATAATGCTCCCATTTGCTAAGCATTGCTGTCTTGCCCTCGCTTTTAGGTTGGCAAGTTGCTCTTTTCACCAGCCTTGCAGAACCATGGAAATACACTTTGCCTGCCCTCAGCACAGCGCCTCTGTGACAAAAGAGATAATGCTGCCCATCAAAAATGACCCTAAGAAATGGGAAAGCAGAGATTGTAAAGCTGCTTTTATAGCCATCCTGTTGGCACAGTGTCCATTGCTTTTTGGCTTCTCCTTTTCTTTAGTATTAATACCCAACAAGCTAGGGCTTTCTTTAATATAAAAGCATTATGTTGATCCTATGCAATAAGCTGATTTTGTGTTTCACAAGGTTGGTGGCCAGCAAAGACCTCCATTCTCTAAGGGGAGGAGCAGCTTCCCTTGTCCACAAAAAGTTATTTCAGCAGCTTTAGAGCAATGTGCAGAACTTTGGCCAAAGCATTTGTTCCTTAGGGATCTCTTAAGGGAAACAGTAAAACAAAAAACAAAGGAACAAAACAAAAAATGTACCACCAAACAAGCAAAAAAAATCTCTTCTTTAAATGTCCATGCCTTGTAGGAACTTGCTGTGTTGGCAGTCCCAGCCCTGTTGTATTCCATCATGAAGTGTTTGCAAGTGTTTAGTAGGACACCTCGAAGAATTCACACTGGACTTTTCAGGAATTCTTCTTTACCCCAGGTTGGATGTATTAGTTCAAACATTGCCATCACCTGTGTAGTACCTGTTATGGGATCCTTTTTTGCCCTCGAACTCTTCACAATCTCGTGTGCTCAGTGATGCTCACTCTCCATCATCTTTTGCAGAATTACAGAAGACTCTGCAGTGACAACATTTGAAGCGCTAAAGGCTCGTGTCCGTGAGTTAGAAAGGCAGCTTTCCCGTGGGGACCGCTATAAATGTCTCATTTGCATGGTGAGTAGCACTCCACTTGTGGTAATGCATCAGAAATGTCTTGGTGTCTTTGCTGAGAAGGGGAGAAGCTTTTCTCCTTTTTCAGGTAGATTGAGGGAACTCCTCTTTGTCCCTATAAACAAATTAGCCTTCCAAATTAAGGTCTTTTTCAGCAGTTGAAATTTGTCTGTATTACATTGTTTCACTGGTATTTGTAGCTTTCCCTCTCTTATCAGGGCAAGAAAGCCCAAAAGACTTTCAGCCTACCTGTAAAAAACTTCCAGTTACTGGCATCCTCATCCTGGTGTGCAGATCTACATCCATAGGAGAGAGCAGAGTCTGTGATATGAGACCCAGTGTATGATTTGAGAACAGGGCTTTTGCCAGAGCGTTTAGAAGTTGTTGATGTCCTGCTTGCTCTGTGGCCTTCTTAAAGAAGGGCAGCAGCTCCCTCTGATGGTCTGAGCCTGCAAAGCTTTGCATCTCCTGTCAGGTTTTTATTCTGATAATAGCAGGAGGGAATTGTGCTTGGTGGAGGACTGCCTCTGCAACTTCAGCTCTCTCTCTCAGCTCACCACTTGTAGGTACAGGAATGAAGTCCCCATCTCTCATCCCACAGGAGGTACAACAATGAGGTTGCTGCTGATTTCCAGAGGTTTATTGGCAATGGTAGAAAATAGTCAAGGGAAGGCATGTCTGCTGAAATAACAGCAGCATTCTCAGGATGTAGTTAAGCTGTTCCTGCAGAGCTAAGAGTTGTGATAAGGGTTAATCTTACTCTGACGCTGGTTTTTGTATGATCTAGTGACCTTTCTGGTTGGAATAATGGTAGGTGGCCACAGCAACTTCAGATCCTCTTGTGATAACTGTGCTGAGCCAGGTCACCACTTGAGTGGATTATGGGCTTCCAACAGGAGTTCTGGGAAGCCATAAGAACAAACTACAGGAGACTTTTCTTCCACTAAACAAACACTACAAAAATACAGACTTACATGTAACACAAGCTTGTATTTTTTTAAACACAAAATACAAGGCAGTGTTACCCACAAACAAAGATGTTGTTGATGGGTTGGGAGCAAAGACTCAGTAGATAGATTGTGCTGTGGAAATAACTTGTTTGCTTCTTCTCCTCAGGACTCCTACACAATGCCCCTGACTTCCATTCAGTGCTGGCATGTGCACTGTGAAGAATGCTGGCTGCGGACTCTGGTGAGGCTCTTGACTACTTTCTTGTTGACTTACAGATTTTTTTTCCTCACTTCTGGGGTAGTTTCTTTAAATCACCACGGGAAAGGTGTTTTTTCCTTTGTTTTAAGCCATGAGTGCTGTACTTGCAGACTTCTTGAGCTGTTTAACACTCCACTCTAGCTTTGATCTGAATGAGTTTCATTTCAAATAGTTCTGCCCGTTGTGTGCTCCTCTGCTGCTGAGGGGACAGTCACTGCTCATGTAAGAGCTCTGTGCTGGGGACAGCCATGCTTTACAGTAATTTCCTGTGGGGCATCCATGCAGAGAGGTAAAGCTCTGAGAATGGAGGCCAAATCCACTGAGATTCATGGAATGGGTAGGTTCTGAGAAACCTAATATCCCCCTGAAGCAAAGGGAATCATCATCAGGATAGATGATGCCACTCTTTTGGGAAGATTGGGGGCTGCTTTGAACATTGAACATTGAATAGGTGACCCACTGCAGTAGTAATTTATGCATATATTAAAGGAGACATCAGGTTAAAATTTAAGGTGTTATTAAATAAAATGTTTTCCTTTCCTTTGTTAATACTGTGGGCTTTATAATCAGCTTTTTTATTTCTCCTGTGCAGCTGATACTCAAGCTTTCGTTTTGTTCAGGCTGAGGAGTGGAAAATAGTGAGTTGTGTGCTCTCAGTTCTCTTGCTAGCAAGATGATACAGTGTTGGGTTGCAAAAAATGTAAGGGAATGCCTCTCCTAAAAACTATTCCTGTAAGGCATTACAAAATCTACTTTATAGAACACGTTGTGTGCTTGGAATTACGATTAAGCCGATCGTGCTCCTTTAAATCCTGCCCTTTAAAAGTCTTGTCCAAGAAAAGTTACCAGGATGGTGAAGTGCCTGTGGGCTTGAGTACTAATAGCAACTCAATAACTTGGCTATCCCTTGGGCTGTATTTTATAGCTTTTCAGCTACACCCCATCGCTACTCAGATTATACAAGCTTTTGTAAACATTTTAGCAGCATGTTATAAAAGACACATATGTGGGTACATAGCTGTGAGGTGTTTGAATGAATGTGTGCTCTGCCACCTTTGCTAAGTGAAGAGTAATCTTGTCCTTCAGTGGTGCAACTAGCAAAAGGATAAAACACTAATTGCTTTTTTATTTTCTTTACTCTGAAATCTTTGTCCTCTCCTCAGCAGCCTGAAGTCATCTACATCCGTGGCACCAATTTCAGGCTGTTCTTAGGCTTAGCAGCAACTTAGTTCAACGTCAGTCAGGCCCCTTTGTTCCATGTCTGGTGGTCAGGGCTGCTCCTGTGAGTGGGGAAGCTGCACTCCAGGTGCTCGGGGGTTAGCATTTACCCTTGCAGAGGGCAAGTCATCTCTCCATGGATATCCATGAGGAAGGTGGGGGTGGAGCTGGCTGTGGACTATCCACACATGGCTCTTCTGCCAACCAGGGAGGCGGGATGGGAACAGTCCAGCAAGACATCATATTAAGACTTTGGCACTTGCACAGGGGAAGCAATTAATAAGTGGCTACTCATGTGTTCCCCAGTCCTAGCCTCTCCCTGCAGCCCCCAATTTATTAAACCAGGCCTTTTCACAAGGCATGCTTGCACTCCGTCTCCCATCTCAAAAAAAACCCACAACACTCTCCCAGCCTGTGTTCGCATGTTTCTAATGTAACCATTAAAATGTAGCCCGAAGACAGCAATAAAAACCCTGGAACGCCTTGGTGCTTTTGTGTCTTGATCAAAGTCAATGTGTGTAATCTCGTTAAGACTGCCCTCCTTCCCCCCCTCCTTTTTTATGAATTTAATGGCATACAGCAGCTGGGCTCAGTGTTTAATGCTCACCAACCTGCATTGTTCTAATTAAGGTATCTCCTTTTATTTCAGGCACAAAAGAGACTCTTGTTTTTTTTTAACAAGCGAGGAGCTGTGGGATAGTGTGTGTAATAATGGCTGCTGTTACCTTTCCCTGGGTATAAAGCAGGCTCCCCGGCGGGGGCGGGAGGAGGGAGCCTGCGCGTGCAGCACACATGGAAAGACTTGACTAGGGGGAGAGGGGCAACATTTTTCTTCTGTTGTGCAATAAACAATTTGTTGGAGTTAATAGGAGTTGGGGCGGGTGGGTTGTGTCAGGCTTCCGGCCCCTTTTGAACATTCTGGAGTTCTGCCATCGCTGCTGGTGAAAGGTCCCCTTTCTCCTATGCGCATGTGGTTTATGTGCCCAGCTGAGATCTGATATTAAATGAGAGTGTGAGTGTGTCTGAGGGAGAGAGGTTTGGACCATGGAACAAGCCCCTGGAACTGAAGGCTCAGGAGTGCCTGGGAGCACTTCTAGGCCTCTGCAGGGTATTGAAGGCAGGGTGAAATTTGATGCTCATGTCTGTCTTTGGACCAGAAGAGGTGAAGTGTTTTTTTAAAGATTTAAGGTTTGCACATTTCCTGGGATATGATGCTACAGTGATCTGAGCACCTTTGACTTCAGTGCTGTCCAGGGCACTGATGAGGATTGGATCTTTAAAAAGTGCTTAGGCTTACAGAAAATATAATTTTTGGACTTTTGACTCTTGATGTCCAATTACAAATTATAACTGCTCTGTTCCTAAGGGAGGGGGAGAGACGTTTTTAACCACCAACTCTACAAATGGTTGGAGGGCTCTCTAGCTTAGATTCCATTATACTAAAGCTCAGTGCATCAAACTGGCTCCATGTTCTGGGGATGAAATCTTCATCAGAGCAGACTTTTTATCTGTTTCCTCTTGCTGTATTGGATTATCCTGAAGAAGAGGCTGCGGTTACAGAAGGGAATCCTGTAGATGGCTTAAGAGCACTAAGATCATGGTGAGTGCTGAGTTAGCCAGCACCTCAGTGCCAATAGAAGCTGCTGGGTTAGACAGTCCTCCTAAGAGTGGCCATGGAGAAAGGGAGGAACTGTCCCTTCACCCAGTGTCAGGACATGATGAGTTGAGTGGTTTTCTATCCTACTTGCTCTGGGAGCAGAGTCAGTCTGCCTGAGGGCTACAGTCCAGGGGCCACAGGCTAAAAGTGTGATGTGTGCTGCAAATGCTGTGGGCAGCTCTGTGGTTGTAGGCATGATAGGAAGAGGGACACATGAATGTGTTGTTTCATGCCATATGATCGTGCCTGGGTTCACAGGAAGTCATATTAGCTGTTTAGTCAGCTGGGTTTATCTGCTGTTTTTTTACTGCTGTGTCAAACCACACCAACGAGCTTGCTGCTCCCAATGTGCTGGTTGTCTGAGACACTCAACGTGGTGGTACATTTCATTCATCCATCCTGCATACAGAGAGGAGGTTGGTATCTTCTAAGTTATGCAGAAAATAGGTCACAAGCCTGGAGTGACTTCCCTGTGATCTCTTTTGGAAACCCCTAAAAACACCTGCAGGTTCCTCAAAGAAGGGAGAAGAACCGGTGTTGCAGGAGGGAGGCTTTGCCTGGGCAGCAGGAGATGGGATCCATTTCACTGAACATTGACCATCCCCATTGTGGGTGTCTGTCCTCAGGTGGTTGTTGGACTGCAGCCCTGAGGCACTGGGTGATGGGGGGTGAATCTCCCTCTGATAGAGGTTTGTCTGCCCCTTCTCTGTTCTTTCCCATTAACCCAGGGGGACCTACAGCTACTAGTGGGTGAGATTAATATTTTCCTTCTGCTGGGAAGAGTGCTCTGACAGTAGAGATTGGCAGTCTTCTGCAGTGCTTTGCTGGGAGGTTTGGAGCCTCCATCCTTGGAGGTTTGTGAGAACATTTGATGCATGTCAGCAGTAATTCAGGTTTAGGTGCTAGGGGAATGGGTCGGTGGATTCTAGACATCTCTCTGAGCTGTAGTTCTGTGATCTGCCAAACCCTGGTATCCTTCCTTATGAAGCAAATAGAGTTAAAAGCTAAGTCAGGCTGTTGTTTGCCAGTGATGGAGCTGTTGATAGGAGCAGGTGTGCAGGGGCTGAAAGAGGGCAGGTGCAGTTTGCTGAGTTTCCCCCTTCACCAGATCCAGCATTTCTTGTGTGTATTTGCTGACCTCAGGCTTGCACTTGCCTGTCTTGGGCTTATTTGAGAATGAAAACTGCAGAAGCAGGAAAAAATCACTTCTAAAAAGCCTTCTTCATCACAGAATATGCTTCCAGGGAATCCATTGATAGATATGTGTGCTCTGCAGTTGACACATTTATATCTTTTGCAGATTACACTACTATGTTCTTAGCCTGATCACTTTTTCCAGGCTATAACACCCTGTGCCGCATGCAGGCTGGAGTAGTTTTGTAAGTGCAGATACAGAGCAATCCTTCTGGGTGATTCCTTAGTGCTTCCAGCAACATGAGGACCTCCTGAGTCAGCAGCTGCATGGAGGACACTGCACTTCAACCTGTTATTTATTAACATACTTCAGTTTTGGCCTCCCAACAACCTGTGGGGGTGAGCTCTACCCATTGAGGTGGCTCTGTGAGGGTCGCTCTCCTGATTTCCTTCACCCCATTACCTGCTGACTAGAGGTACCACAGGGGCAGTGGTGAAAGGGAATTAGTATTTGCAGAGAAGAAGCTGCCACTTCATGCAGAGGTGTGGGTGGGAGAGGGGGCTCTCACCTTGGTTGAGAATTGGATCTTGGAGTTTGACTCCTTTCCTGGCAGAAGTTGGCTCTTGGTTTGGGCCCCTCCTGTCTCCTCTCTACTTTAGTTTACCTTTCTATAAAGTAGGCAAACTTTGAGCTCAGGTTTGACAGTGGCACTGTGTAGGCAAAATTGCTCTGTGTGTGTCTCTTTATTCTGTGCCTGGTAGCATATTCTTCTTGGAAATTGCCCCATTTTAGACCCACAAGATGGGAAGAAGTGCCTAAATATTTCCTTTTGAGTTTTCTTTCTTTAGCCAATTTATAGCAGACATCACACCATATTTTTTTTTTAAGAGGCAACTTTAAGACAAAATACTCCAATCCTTCCTGGCACCATGTGAGCCCTAATGACTTCTCAACATCTCAGCTCTCGTTAATGTATTTTTCAAACTACTACCCCAAGTGATTAGCCTGTATTGTGGATCAATCACTTGCCAAATTTTAATTAAGAAAGGAGGAGAAAAAATAAACCCCATCCTGATTTCAGCCCCTTTTCTTTGCTTTGTAACAGCCCTGGAGCAAACTTCTTGCAGCAGAGTTTTATAAACCCCTCAAAACTGGGGTTTATAATGGAAAAGCTGAGGTGGCCTTTACTCTAGCACACACAGCTATAACACATCAAGGCTTTTCCATGAAGCTATGATGAAAGGAGCAGAAGGACCTGGAAAAAAAAAAAAAAAAGAAATGGCCAACAGGTGGGAGTTATTATTCCACAACGTTTTTATTTCAAGGGAAAAGTTTAGTAACCCCAGCTGGCAGGTGAGCAGTGGGGGAGCAAATGCATTTTCAATTGTGCCTCTGCCAGCATGTGTGTGTGTACAAGCTTATGTGCCTCTCTACAAGAGAGGAGAGCTCAGATGCTAGTGCCAGTGAATGTTGAGCACCTACACCAGAAAGTCAGCTCTAAGGAGCAAGGTTCTAAGCAATTCCAATCTAAAAAAAATAAAATCAGGATAGTTCTGATTTTATCACACATGCTTATGTGGATGACAGGATTTGTTTTGTTGTGGTTTGTTGGGGTTTTTAAAGGCTTTCCCAAGGGTCCAGTCATTATTTTTGCTTGAACTGTTGAAAACCAAGCATAAGTACTAGGGAGGCCCAGAGACCCAGGCCCAGTGTGCCAGGGGCAGTCAGCCTGTGCAGGGTTCAGGCCAGGCTGCTGAGTGTCTTTGGGATGAACTTCAGTGCTCAAGATGAGCTGCTCTTCCAACCTGCAGGTGAAGCAGCTTCCACCACTGCTCAAAATGGACCTGCCATAATGTAGCTTTGGCAGTCAATGGGTCAAGCTACATGTGGTTAGATTCTGCCTTCTGGCATGGTTGAAAACTTGGCCCTGGCTACCTGTGTGCAACTCTCAGCCTCAGGTGGGGAGTGTGGATCTGCCTGAAGCTGTCATGGGGTGCAGAAAGCAGATCTCCAGGACAGATCCTGTAGTCTGGCACAATAAATCCGTCCCTTGTGGTGTTGTAAAGGAATTGCATACCTGACCTTGTTCTGCCAGGGGAGAGAGGAGAAAAACTGCAGTCAGTTTGATCAGGCTTGTTCTGCCATCCTGTGGGTTGAGTGTGGAAGACTTGTGCTTATAGAGAGCACCTGTGCAGCCTTTAGAGAGTCCTGGACAAAACGGCTCTCCAGGAATCTGTCCTTCTGAAATGTCCCACATGGAATTGTCTCATCTGTGTTAGTTTGTCCTTGCTAAGGGTCACACATCTGTCTGCAGCTGTCCCAGAACAATGCATGAGATGCAAGACAGTGAGGTGGCAGCAGCTACAGTTTGCTTTTAGCAAAAAGGAACTTGTGGGGGCTTTGTTGCTCCTCCCCACCCACCACAGTGAAATGTCTCCAATGTGAGCAAAGCTAAAAGAAAATAACTGCTGAAATGCTGCTGAACATTGCACAGGAGCACTGAGGAGTAGGGGAGCATGATGTTGGGTGACAGCAAGCACATCCCTTCATCCTTTGCCCCAGACTGAAGGCAGGCTGAGGCATTTAATGAGTCAGAGAAGTGGTCTTACAGAAGATACCTCTCACTGGTGCATGTTCAGAGACAGAAACTCCAGTTACTTGGTCGGATGCTTCTCTCTCACCAATAAACTGTGCCTGTCTTAGGAAGGAGAGCATGGACACATATGTGCAGTAGTCACATCTGGAATGCCTTAAAGTCCCCACGCACACTTACTTGTGCTGGCCAAGGCATAGAGGAAGGTTCCAATGGGCCTCAGCTGCTGGAAGGGCCTGTCTAACATCAGTGAGCAGAGCTTGTGGTGCTCAGACACAGCCTGGGCTCAGTTCTGTGCAGCGGGAGGTCGTGCTGAGACTGTGGTCAGTGTTGAAAGCCAGAACATCCTGGTTCCCTGTGCTGCTGGTGCTGTAGATGGGAGATTACCTCACAGCAGAGCTGTCTTTCTCTCATTTTCTCCATCAACTGTCACATCTGCCAATCTAATGATGACCAGCTTAGGATGCCCCCCATTCTGACATGTATTAACACCCTCTTGCTGTCAGGTTCGGTGACAGATGGCACATCAGCCCTTGTTTTATTTCATGTAGTGTTCATGTTGGCCTCCCATTACCTGCCCCAGCTCACACCACAAGTTTGCTGGTTTCAGCCCACCTTGGCAGAACAGACTTGTCTCTCCAGCATCACTGGGGTGTGTGGGGGGGATGCAGTGGGGACAGGACAGGGGTTTCCTTCATGCCAGCAGCTCTGGGGCTTTTGCAGGATGGCTGAGGCAGTTCCCCAGACTGCAACCCCACCCAGCTGAAAACTGCACTGTCCCAGCTGTGTTGGTTTTCTGCCTGATCAGTCACCTGAACTGGCTCAAGGGCTGCAAGTGTGCAAGGGAAGCAGAAAGGAGCAGATCTGCCTGGCACCCAGAGGTGACAGCATGGCAGGAGAGGGGGCTTGGGCTGATCCATCTGCTGAGCTTCCTCTCCCCAGAGCTGCTGAGTTTGGTCACAGGCCTCAGCTCTGGGTTTCAGCCTCCTGCCTGCCTTGTGCTGGGGACTGCAGTGGGATGAGGGACTTGCAGGGCAGGCAGGAAAGGCATCAGGGCTCCTCCTCACGGCTTGTGCCTACTGTTGGGAGGGTAAGGCCCTGCCTGGAAGGAAAGGAGGGTGGCCCTGGCTCCTGTGCAGCTCCCCCCCTGAGATCCCAGGCCAAGGGCAGGGTCGTGCAGGTTGTCCTCCTTCACTCTCTCATGCTGTTTGTCTGGTCTGCTGGTTGCAGGGTGCCAAGAAGCTCTGTCCCCAGTGTAACACCATCACGTCTCCCGGAGACCTGCGGCGCATTTACTTATGAAGGGCCCAGCGGGAGGGCAGGACCTGGTTACTCAGCCCAGCTCATCACACCAAGGGGGAGAAGAAGACAGCAAAACAAACAAACCAACAAAAAAAACAACCAAACAAACAAAAAAAGACATTTTAAAATTTAAAGAAAAAAAAAAAGAGACTCCAGACCTGAACTCAAGGATATAGGAGCAATGGGGAGCCTCGGCTCCCAGGTCCCGCATGTTGAGACCTCCTTCAGCATCTGCAGCGGGCAAAACCAGACCCTTTGTTGTGAAGCCCCCTTTTTTAAAACCAGTATTCCCCATCATCCCATTCCCTGGAGCTGGCTTTGCATCACGGATGGCTCGTGAGCCCTACTTTGAACTGTGTTCTTGACCACTCTGCCCCCAGGAGACTGGGGAAGGGACCCTTGACAGAAAGTTGTTAAATAACCTGTAACTTGTGTTCTTTGTTCAGTTTTTGTTTTGTTTTTATTTGTTTTGCTTTGGTTTTTGGTTTGGTTTTGTTTTGGTTTTTTGTGGTGTTCTAGTGATAAAAAAAAGGTTTAAGAAAAAAAACCCACACCCAGGCAGAAATGAAGCACATGTAATATAGATTATATATGTTTACAATGTTGTGTATAAATGGGATAGACTCAAACATTACATACTAATAAGTTTCCCTTTTTTTTTTTGGGTTGTATTTTTTTTAAAGAAGAAAAAAATGAGCAGAGAACATTAAACCCATATTTTTCTTGGTTCAGCAAAGTTTTGGCATTAAAGTCATTAGTTTTAAAAAAGTATATATATACATATATATAATATAAATGGTTTAATGTTCTGTGGTGTATATTTCCTCATTCAGATATGAAGTTAACAGCTTTTAGTAATGGCTGTAGCATTGCCCATAACTTACAGAACTTATGGGGAGTAGAGGAGGTGGATTTTTGTCATTAGTTGTAGCTAATGGGGCTATTTATAATAGAATCGTTATCCCCGGAAAGACACGGCTTTTAACTCCTTGCCGGGGGACCAGGCAGGGTGGGGGGATCTGGATCAGCCCCTTTTGCCTTTCCCAGCCAGGGAAGGGGCAAACGGTGCAGAGCAGGAGGGAGTCAGAGCTGCTGGAGTCCTGCCCTCTCCCCCAGCCAGGAGAGCCTGCTTGAGGTTCCAGCTCACCCCTTCCTGCCCCCTCCAAGGCTGTAGCCCCTGCCTTGCTTTGCTTCCCTCCCCTGCAAGCAGCATTTGCTGGCTGAGGATGCCCGAGCTGTTCTGGTCCAAGGCAGGATGGCAGGGAAGCGGGCACAGCCAGGGACAGGATGGCCCTGCTGGTGGCTTTTGTCTGAGAGGCTTTGCCCGAGGAGGTGGTGGCTGCAGTGGCCCCCAAGCTGCCTTGCAAGAGACACGCAAGCCCTGCAGAGTCAGCCCTGCCCTATGCCAGCTTCCTGTAGCTCCTGCTCTTCTGGAGCCTGTGTTTTGTTGTAGAGGGTTTTCTGGTGCTAGGGTGGAGAGCCAAGGCAGCCTTCTCTCCTTGTCCCCCGGGCCACCCCTTGGCTTTACCCCAGGCTGCAGCAAGCAGAGATGCTTCCAGGCAGAGACAGAGGTTCCCTGTGGCCCTGGCTTCCACACAGTTCCCCATGCTTGTCCCTGTCTCCCATGTCCTCAGCCTTAACCAAAGCTGCCATCTGGGCTGGTGTTCTGTTGTTTTTTTCTTTTATTTTCAGGACCCAAGAAACAAATACCGATCCATTTCCCAAGGCAATTCCATGCCTCATGTCCTGACTTCTCCCAGCTCCGTGCTGTGCAGCCTGGCCCCAGCTGCCCAAGCAGTCACAGGGTGCCAGCTCACCAAAGCCAGAAGACATGGGAGATGGGGAAGCTCATCTCCCCCTGCTCCCACAAGGTCTTTCCAAGCAGATCCCACCTGGCAGCACAATGTGGCTGGGGCATTTTGGCAATCTGGAAAGAGCAGTGGATGCTGCCCTTGGGCTGCTGGCATCTTTCCAGAGAGGAAAGGGCTTGTGGAAGCAGGATGCCTGGGGAGTGACAGTCCCATCGCCATTTCTCTGCCCTGAGCTTGATGCTGTTTTGCAAAGAGCAGCTGCTGTCCTCAGCATCTCCCAAGTGATTTTAGAAGGATCCCACTGCATCAAAACCAAAACAAAACAAAAATCCACAAAAATCTAAACCAGATCAAAGGAGCTGTATTTTATAAGCATCTCTGCAAAAGATGACAGTTCCTAATAGGGAGTTTCCCAGGTCTCCAAGCTTACAGCAAGGTCCTGCTCTCTGGGTCCAGAGAGCTGCAGCCTCCCCTGCTTGGGGCACTTCCTGGCAGAGCTCCCAGGAACCAGAGGAAGCTGAGGCAGCTTGAGAGGGTCCTGCCTCCCCGGGGAAGCTGCAGACAGGGGAGGGGTCAGCAGCAATGACCTGTCACTGCTGGGTTACCCTTGGCAGCAGCACTTGGGCAGGGGAAGGGCAGAACACAGAACCTGGGCCTAGGCTTGTAAAGGGGGAAAAAAATGGAAGGTGTCATGGCTGGGCTGTGAGTGCCACCCAGCTAGTGGGTGCTGGCACTGGGGTCTCAAAAGTGGATTTGGAGAGGGTGCAGGAGGTGAGTTTGAGAGGCTGGCAGGAAGGGGGAGAGGGCAGGATGCCCTGCCCTTGCCTTTCCTTGGAAATTGGCCCAGGAGGGAGCCAGGCTTTCTGGCAGGTGGTGTGGACTGGGCATGTGCTCTATGTACGTATGTGTAAAACCATATGTAACTACTAGTCATTGGTTCTTTTGTTTTGGGGTTTATTTTTGTTTATTTTTTTTGTTTCAATTGTGAAGCCATCCCCTGTTTTCAAGGGGGGGGAGGCTGCAGGGGGAAGGCTGAGGAGAGAGGCATCCTGCTTTGTAACAGGCACCTGCCACTTCCCTCTTCTGTAATGAGTTTAAATGATTTTTAAAAAATAATAAATTGAAACATCAGAGTTACCTATCTTTGCCCAAAGAATCCCAGTTGCACAAAGCGATATTCCGGTGTGTCAATGATTGTGTGTCAGTGTATATTATACAAAGAGGTACTTGTCACTCCCGTTTGTAAACTACATTTGACATTAATTAAACAAATACAAATCTTCTCAGGCGCTTCCCGCCTTTCTCTGTTTCCCTTGGCAGGCGAGAAGCAGCAGAGACCAGCACCCGCACTGTGCCGCAGCCCCTGGGTGTGAGTAGTGTCCCAAAGGGGAGTACCAGTCCTGTTTTGGGGTGCGGGGACAGATGCAGGGAGAGGGATGCTGGGGAGAGACCCCCACCAGCCCCTCAGTGCTCCCTCCCCAGCACCCTGATGCGATGATGCACCTCTGGCCCAGCACAGATGGGGTCCCCTCAGCTTGTCCCCCCTGCAGAGCCAGGAGGGCAGGGTAAAGGGCTCACCTCAGGGGACCCCCCGCCCCCCATAATGAAGTCTCATCAGCTGCATTAGTTGGGGGCAGGAGGCGCCCAGCCCCAGCAGATCTATACCTCCTGCATTAGGGGCCACCAGCACGGTATAGGGTTACCCCCAGCAGCAGGGAGCAGGAGGCTGCTGTGCCGGGGGGCAGAGGGAGGTCGGGTTCCCCCCGGGGTGGGGCTGGCGCCGACGCTTTCGGTTTACAAACATGTTGCAGACGGGTCGATGGGGTGTTTTTAAACCCCTCCCCGTGGCTGTGTCCACTGGGAATGGGGTGCTGGTGAGGTCCTCAGGCTGGTGGAGGTGTGGGCAGCCAGGATGTCAGGGTCAGCTTTCCCTCTCCAGTGGCGAGGATGGGGAGGGAAGTGGATTCGGCTACTTATTTGGCAGCTTTTTAGGCTGGCAAGGGGCACCGGGGCATCTCAGCCACTCTCAGTTCCTCTTTCAGCCAGAGGAGGCCTGAGGCCAGAGTGAGGGGCAGGAACCCCTCACTCCCTCCCCCACCCCCCGCCCCGCAGCAGGCTGCTAATATTTTATTTAAAATATCTTTAGGAAGTGGAGGGCCGTGATGTATCGGGTGTATTGAGAAAATGCTAATGTGTAATAGCATGTGTCAGGGGCCTCGTTCATCACCCCGCGCCGCCTTCTGGGGGATCCATATCTAATTAACAGTAATGAATGAGGGAGGCCACCTAATGACAGCCCGCCAGTTTGTTATGGAAATGAGGCAATCCCATTAGGCAAAACACTTAATTAAACAAACTGCTCGGAGAGGAGGCTGGAGCAGGATGGGCACAGGCCCTTTGGGGGACCTGGGTGGGGGGTACCCTGGTACCCGCCC